AAATCGTCCGAGATTTTTGTCATGTGCTCCGGGTGGAACTGCAGGTCGTCGAAGTAGCTTGTGAAGCGTCTCCATTGCTCAATCAGCATGTCGATGCCGCGCTGCTCTCCGAGTATGACGTCTTCCTTCATCGAAGACCGCAGGAAAACGAGTTGTTGCTCATACTCAGACTTCTGGAGCCACGCCTCGGGGCCAGAGGAGATCTCATTGGGACAACGACTGCCATTACGGAAGAGGTGAAAGTATTCAACCATGACACACCACGTGCTTGATTTGGCGTCGGAAATGAGACGACTGTGCTGCATCTCCAACATCGGGATCTCCTGCCGGAGTTGTTTTACGGTGACCTCGAGATCCTTCTCGTACTGCATTTGCTTCTTTCTGTAGCGAGCTTGGTTCGTGCGACACTGTTCACGCCGCCGCGGTGTCTTGATGCGAATACGCTTCCTCTTGGGCTTCGGGGCGCCTGGAGCAGTGCTTTGAATAGTTTTAACAGAGGGAACTGTTCTAGAAACTCGCCTGGGGGCTGGCTTTGTAGGAGTCGAAGGAGCGACGGGCCTCACAGGCTCTTCCTTAAGCGCTGATTGGGCAGGGTTACAAGTCTCGCGCGAGACTGGGCTTGCGCTCCTAGAAGTGCAGGCTGCCACTTCGTTCATCCTTCGGGATATTGAAGCCTCCATGAGGAAATGAAGAGGGGTCTGCTGAGGCGCTACGGGCACATTGGGAGAACGGGACGGACTGATTTGTGTTTTCGTGATCGACAGTAAAGTCGCTCGGAGCGGTGGGACCTTCGCAGTCTTCGTATTAGAGAACACGCCTCCTCCACCGACGGACGCTCGCGGAAGCACATGGCCAATCACGTTGGAAGTGAGCACACGCGACGTGTTTGTGGACTCAAAGCGCGCGAAGATGCTGGAAACGCGGTCCATGACGTTGCAACTGTTGGGTGTCTGTCGAAATCTGGACTGGGCCGCCACTGCAACAGGTGATACCCACTGTGAGAGCCGAAGTAAGCGTGTGGTGATCCCCACAGAGGTGACCGTGACTGATTGGACTGGCGGGAACTATGATAGCACCTTGCAGCTTTGAGTGGACTGGCGTGCTGTAGAGCGCGTCAATTGCGAGTAAACTTACGAGCCCGGCAAGCGCAGATGATTATTATGTTGGGGTGGTAATCCTTTGTTTGACTACTCCACGTGAGCAGCTGGAGCTGTTTGATCCGATACACGGTTACTATTAATGTATCATTTTAAGAAGTGCTGTAAATGTGCTATGCTTACTTGTTTTTTGTTTCTATACGAGAGATCCCAGCTGGATTCCTGGTCCGGATGTGGAGCTTCATGTCGCACTCGCCGTCAGGCAACTCGAAGTGGATGAACAACGCCCGATTCTGTCCACACAGAGAACAATTTGCCAAGTTGTACAGCGCCAGGTTATACTGTACTGGTTGTACTTACGGTTTTGTGCTTGCGGCCCAAGCCCGCACCCGTTCAACTTTCCAATCACCGCACTTAATCAACACAACAATGCTGCTGTCGATTCAAGGTCGAAG